ATAACATCAGTCTGTGTGATAACATAAATTCAGTCTGTCTGATAACATTGGTCTGTGTGATAACATAATATTGATCTGTGGGATAATATAACATGGGTCTGTGTGATAACATAATATTGGTCTGTGTGATAACATTGGTCTGTCTGATAACATAACATTGGTCTGAGTGATAACACAACCTGGGTCTGTGCGATAACATTGGTCTGAGCAATAACATAACATGGGTCTGTGTGATAACATTGGTCTGAGCAATAACATAACATGGGTCTGTGTGATAACATTGGTCTGTGTGATAACATAACATTGGTCTGAGTGATAACATAACATGGGTCTGTGTAATAACACAACATGTTTCTGTGTGATAACATAACATTGCTCTGAGGGATAATGTAACATTGATCTGAGTGATAACATAACACCGGTCTGTGTGATAACATAACATGGGTCTGAGTGATAACATTGATCTGAACAATAACATAACATGGGTCTGTGTGATAACATAACATTGATCTGTGTGATAATATAACATTGATTTGTATGATAACATAACATTGGTCTGTGTGATAACATAACATTGGTCTGTGTGATTTACATTGGTCTGAGCAATAAAATAACATGAGTCTGAGTGGTAACATAACATTGATCTGTGTGGTAACATAACATTGGTCTCTGTGATAACATAACATTGGTCTGTGTGATAACATTGGTCTGTGTGATCACATTGGTCTGTTGATAATATTGATACCTCAGATCTGTTGAGCATGGGAACTGGGACATCTTAGATAAACAGCCAAACAAACATGTAGTCTGCTCACTTCTATGTGGCTTGTACAGTTGATAAATGAATGAATGCTCAAGAGGGAGCTGTGAAGCATTCGGGACAATCCCACAGATGTTTTATCTCCTTCTTCAGTCGCCAACAAATAACTACAATGCCTGGGAAGACAGTCCACCTATCATCTCCCTTTTCATGTTTATGGTGTGAAGTTGTGTGAGCATGTTAGTGGTGTGAAGTTGTGTGAGCATGTTAGTGGTGTGAAGTTGTGTGAGCATGTTAGTGGTGTGAAGTTATGTGAGCATGTTAGTGGTGTGAAGTTATGTGAGCATGTTAGTGGTGTGAAGTTGTGTGAGCATGTTAGTGGTGTGAAGTTATGTGAGCATGTTAGTGGTGTGAAGTTGTGTGAGCGTGTTATCGGTGTGAAGTTATGTGAGCATGTTAGTGGTGTGAAGTTGTGTGAGCATGTTAGTGGTGTGAAGTTGTATGAGCATGTTAGTGGTGTGAAGTTGTGTGAGCGTGTTATCGGTGTGAAGTTATGTGAGCGTGTTAGAGGTGTGAAGTTGTGTGAGCATGTTAGTAGTGTGAAGTTGTGTGAGCATGTTAGTGGTGTAAAGTTGTATGAGCATGTTAGTGGTGTGAAGTTGTGTGAGCATGTTAGTGGTTTGAAGTTGTATTAGCATGTTAGTGGTGTGAAGTTGTGTGAGCATGTTAGTGAAGTATGAACATGTTAGTGGTGTGAAGTTGTGTGAGCATGTTAGTGGTGTGAAGTTGTGTGAGCATGTTAGTGGTGTGAAGTTGTGTGTGAAGTAGTGGTGTGAAGTTGTGAGCATGTTATTGGTGTGAAGTTTGTGCAAGTTGTGTGAGCATGTTAGTGGTGTGGTTGTGAAGTTGTGTGAGCATGTTAGTAGTGTGAAGTTGTGTGAGCATGTTAGTGGTGTGAAGTTGTATGAGCATGTTAGTGGTGTGAAGTTGTGTGAGCATGTTAGTGGTGTGAAGTTGTGTGAGCATGTTAGTGGTGTGAAGTTGTGTGAGCATGTTAGTGGTGTGAAGTTGTGTGAGCATGTTAGTGGTGTGAAGTTGTGTGAGCATGTTAGTGGTGTGAAGTTGTGTGAGCATGTTAGTGGTGTGAAGTTGTGTGAGCAGTGGTGTGAAGTTGTGTGAGCATGTTAGTGGTGTGAAGTTGTGTGAGCATGTTGAAGTTGTGTGAGCATGTTAGTGGTTGAAGTTGTGTGAGCATGTTAGTGGTGTGAAGTTGTGTGAGCATGTTAGTGGTGTGAAGTTGTGTGAGCATGTTAGTGGTGTGAAGTTGTGTGAGCATGTTAGTGGTGTGAAGTTATGTGAGCATGTTAGTGGTGTGAAGTTGTATTAGCATGTTAGTGGTGTGAAGTTGTGTGAGCATGTTAGTGTGAACATGTTAGTGTGTGAAGTTGTGTGAGCATGTAGTGTGTGAAGTTGTTGAGCATGTTAGTGGTGTGAAGTTGTGTGAGAAGTGTGAAGTTGTGTGAGCATGTTAGTGGTGTGAAGTTGTGTGAGCATGTTAGTGGTGTGAAGTTGTGTGAGCATGTTAGTGGTGTGAAGTTGTGTGAAGTTGTTTGAGCATGTTAGTGGTGTGAAGTTGTGTGAGCATGTTAGTGGTGTGAAGTTGTGTGAGCATGTTAGTGGTGTGAAGTTGTGTGAGCATGTTAGTGGTGTGAAGTTGTGTGAGCATGTTAGTGGTGTGAAGTGTGTTGAGCATGTTAGTGGTGTGAAGTTGTGTGAGCATGTTAGTGTTAGTGGTGTGTGAAGTTGTGTGAAGTTGTGTGAGCATGTTAGTGGTGTGAAGTTGTGTGAGCATGTTAGTGGTGTGAAGTTGTGTGAGCATGTTAGTGGTGTGAAGTTGTATGAGCATGTTAGTGGTGTGAAGTTGTGTGAGCATGTTAGTGAAGTATGTGAGCATGTTAGTGTTGTGTGTGAAGTTGTGTGAGCATGTTGTGGTTGAAGTGGTGAGTGAAGAAGTTGTGTGAAGTTGTTTGAGCATGTTAGTGGTGTGAAGTTGTGTGAAGTGGTGTGAAGTTGTGTGAGCATGTTAGTGGTGTGAAGTTGTGTGAGCATGTTAGTAGTGTGAAGTTGTATGAGCATGTTAGTGGTGTGAAGTTGTGTGAAGTTGTTTGAGCATGTTAGTGGTGTGAAGTTGTGTGAAGTTGTATGAGCATGTTAGTGGTGTGAAGTTGTGTGAAGTTGTTTGAGCATGTTAGTGGTGTGAAGTTGTGTGAAGTTGTATGAGCATGTTAGTGGTGTGAAGTTGTGTGAAGTTGTATGAGCATGTTAGTGGTGTGAAGTTGTGTGAAGTTGTTTGAGCATGTTAGTGGTGTGAAGTTGTGTGAAATTGTTTGAGCATGTTAGTGGTGTGAAGTTGTGTGAAGTTGTATGAGCATGTTAGTGGTGTGAAGTTGTGTGAAGTTGTTTGAGCATGTTAGTGGTGTGAAGTTGTGTGAGCATGTTAGTGGTGTGAAGTTGTGTGAGCATGTTAGTAGTGTGAAGTTGTATGAGCATGTTAGTGGTGTGAAGTTGTATGAGCATGGTAATTTTGTGAAGTTGTGTGAGCATGTTAAGGGTGGGAAGTTATGTGAGCATTTTAATGGTGTGAAGTTATGTGAGCATGTTAGTGGTGTGAAGTTGTGTGAGCATGTTAGTTGTGTAAAGTTGTGTGGGCATGTTAGTGATGTGAAGTTATGTGAGCATGTTAGTGGTGTGAAGTTGTGTGGGCATGTTAGTGGTGTGAAGTTGTGTGAGCATGTTAGAGGTGTGAAGTTGTGTGAGCATGTTAGAGGTGTGAAGTTGTGTGAGCATGTTAGTGGTGTGAAGTTGTATTAGCATGTTAGTGGTGTGAAGTTGTGTGAGCATGTTAGTGGTGTGAAGTATTAGCATGTTAGTGGTGTGAAGTTGTGTGAGCATGTTAGTGGTGTGAAGTTGTGTGAGCATGTTAGTGAAGTATGAGCATGTTAGTGAAGTATGAGCATGTTAATTTTGTGAAGTTGTGTGAGCATGTTAGTGGTGTGAAGTTATGTGAGCATTTTAGTGGTGTGAAGTTATGTGAGCATGTTAGTGGTGTCAAGTTGCGTGAGCATGTTAGAGGTGTAAAGTTATGTGAGCATGTTAGTGGTGTCAAGTTGTGTGGGCATGTTAGTGGTGTGAAGTTGTGTGAGCATTTTAGTGGTGTGAAGTTGTGTGAGCATTTTAATAATATCTGAGTTAAAAATGACCTCTGCATTCTCGTAATGTACATATTTCTCCGTCTCTGACTGTTGGTTGTAGCCATGGTTACTGTGACATATTCATGTTTGTGTGACCTGACATATATATATATATATATATATATATATATATATATATATATATATATATATATATATATATATATATATATATATATATATATATATATATATATATATATATATATATATATATATATATATATATATATATATATATATATATATATATATATGGGGGAATATGCTTGAATGTTTACAAATAAAAGTCATAGAAATATGGCCAGGAGAACCCCAAGGTCATTAAGTTCAGATATATGACTGACATTCACAGAGTCAATCTCATTTTCTCTTCTGACAGCATCAGGAAATTAACCACAAGTTCTGAATCTTGTCGAGTGGATGACGAACATCGGTTGATAGCCAGGTATGCTGCCAGACTCGCAGCCGATGAAAACAAAGCTGTGAGTATCTTTGATGATTAATGTCTTCTTGTGGTTATTCATTTCTTTCTTGTTCTCCTTTTCCTCCATCTTGTGACTGCACACTTGATGAATGCACTGCAGGTTCCTTTCAGAAAAATATTAATTTGGAGGGTAGGGGGAGGAAGAGGGGCAGGGGGAGGTTACTCTGTAGCCCCCGACAGCTTGAAGTGAAATGTTGATTAAACCCCGCTGATTTCTTCTCCTTTTTTCTTTCTTTTACATTTTTGCTTTTGGCAGCTGTAAACTGCAGCAGAAAGCTCTGGTGGTTCATCCACTTCTGCTCTTTGGTGTTGTTCTAGAACTTTTGCATGCACATTCATATGACAGACTTGGCTTATCTTGTATGCAGTCTCCTGGTTGTTAGCCTCTCAGGCAGGAGTAGTTAGCTGGTTGTTGGCCTCTCAGGCAGGCGTAGTTAGCTGGTTGTTGGACTCTCAGGCAGATGTAGTTAGCTGGTTGTTGGACTCTCAGACAGATGTAGTTAGCTGGTTGTTGGCCTCTCAGGCAGGCATAGTTAGCTGGTTGTTGGACTCTCAGACAGATGTATTTAGCTGGTTGTTGGACTCTCAGACAGATGTAGTTAGCTGGTTGTTGGACTCTCAGACAGATGTAGTTAGCTGGTTGTTGGACTCTCAGACAGATGTAGCTAGCTGGTTGTTGGACTCTCAGACAGATGTAGTTAGCTGGTTGTTGGACTCTCAGACAGATGTAGCTAGCTGGTTGTTGGACTCTCAGACAGATGTAGTTAGCTGGTTGTTGGACTCTCAGACAGATGTAGTTAGCTGGTTGTTGGACTCTCAGAAAGATGTAGTTAGCTGGTTGTTGGACTCTCAGACAGATGTAGTTAGCTGGTTGTTGGACTCTCAGACAGACGTAGTTAGCTGGTTGTTGGCCTCCCAGACAGACGTAGTTAGCTGGTTGTTAGACTCTCAGACAGATGTAGCTAGCTGGTTGTTGAACTCTCAGACAGATGTAGCTAGCTGGTTGTTGGACTCTCAGACAGATGTAGCTAGCTGGTTGTTGGACTCTCAGACAGATGTAGATAGCTGGTTGTTGGACTCTCAGACAGATGTAGCTAGCTGGTTGTTGGACTCTTAGACAGATGTAGCTAGCTGGTTGTTGGACTCTCAGACAGATGTAGCTAGCTGGTTGTTGGCCTCTCAGACAGATGTAGCTAGCTGGTTGTTGGACTCTCAGACAGATGTAGCTAGCTGGTTGTTGGACTCTCAGACAGATGTAGCTAGCTGGTTGTTGGACTCTCAGACAGATGTAGCTAGCTGGTTGTTGGACTCTCAGACAGATGTATTTAGCTGGTTGTTGGACTCTCAGACAGATGTAGCTAGCTGGTTGTTGGACTCTCAGACAGATGTAGCTAGCTGGTTGTTAGACTCTCAGACAGATGTAGCTAGCTGGTTGTTAGACTCTCAGACAGATGTAGTTAGCTGGTTGTTAGACTCTCAGACAGATGTAGTTACCTGGTTGTTAGACTCTCAGACAGATGTAGTTAGCATCATCTCATTTAGAATGTCTGTCTGTCTGTCCCTCGCATACATCATCTCATTTAGCATGTCTGTCTGTCCCACACGTGCATCATCTCATTTAGAATGTCTGTCTGTCTGTCCCTCGTGTGCATCATCTTATTTAGAATGTCTGTCTGTCCCTTGTGTGCATCATATCATTTAGAATGTCTGTCTGTCCCTCGTGTGCATCATCTCATTTAGAATGTCTGTCTGTCTGTCCCTCGTGTGCATCATCTCATTTAGAATGTCTGTCTGTCTGTCTGTCCCTCGTGTGCATCATCTCATTTAGCATGTCTGTCTGTCTGTCCCTCGTGTGCATCATCTCATTTAGCATGTATGTCTGTCCCTCGTGTGCATCATCTCATTTAGCATGTCTGTCTGTCTGTCCCTTGCGTGCATCGTCTCATTTAGCATGTCTGTCTGTCTGTCCCTTGTGTGCATCATCTCATTTAGAATGTCTGTCTGTCTGTCCCTCGTCTGCATCATCTCATTTAGAATGTCTGTCTGTCCCTCGTGTGCATCATCTCACTTAGAATGTCTGTCTGTTTGTCCTCTGAGCAGGATTATGTAGAATCTAAACAGTTTTCAAGTTTCAGTAAATACAATATTTCAGTTGGGAGTCAGTTTCAGCAAAGAGACAGTGGTGTCAGTAAAGAGACAGTAGTGTCAGTAAAGAGACATAGTGTCAGTAAAGAGACAGAAGTGTCAGTAAAGAGACAGTAGTGTCAGTAAAGAGATCATAGTGTCAGTAAAGAAACGTGAACCCCAGTGTTAGTAAAGAGACAGAAGTGTCAGTAAAGAATCTCTGTCAGTAAAGAGACAGTAGTGCAAGTAAAGAAACAAAGTCAGTAAAGAGACAGTGTCAGTAAATAAACGGTAGTGTCAGTAAATAAATAGTAGTGTCTGTAAAGAGACAGTAGTGTCAGTAAATAAACAGTAGTGTCAGTAAATAAACAGTAGTGTCAGTAAATAAACAGTAGTGTCAGTAAATAAACAGTAGTGTCAGTAAAGAGACAGTAGTGTCAGTAAAGAAAAAGTAGTGTCAGTAAATAAACAGTAGTGTCAGTAAAGAAAAACAGTCAGTAAAGAGACAGTGTCAGTAAATAAACAGTAGTGTCAGTAAATAAACAGTAGTGTCAGTAAAGAGACAGTAGTGTCAGTAAAAAAACAGCAGTGTCAGTAAATAAACAGTAGTGTCAGTAAAGAGACAGTAGTGTCAGTAAAGAGACAGTAGTGTCAGTAAAGAGACAGTAGTGTCAGTAAAGAGACAGTAGTGTCAGTAAAGAGACAGTAGTGTCAGTAAAGAGACAGTAGTGTCAGTAAAGAGACAGTAGTGTCAGTAAATAAACAGTAGTGTCAGTAAATAAACAGTAGTGTCAGTAAATAAACAGTAGTGTCAGTAAAGAAACAGTAGTGTCAGTAAATAAACAGTCGTGTCAGTAAAGAGACAGTAGTATCAGTAAAGAGACAGTAGTGTCAGTAAAGAGACAGTAGTGTCAGTAAAGAGACAGTAGTGTCAGTAAATAAACAGTAGTGTCAGTAAATAAACAGTAGTGTCAGTAAATAAACAGTAGTGTCAGTAAATAAACAGTAGTGTCAGTAAAAAAACAGTAGTGTCAGTAAAGAGACAGTAGTGTCAGTAAATAAACAGTAGTGTCAGTAAAGAGACAGTAGTGTCAGTAAATAAACAGTAGTGTCAGGTAGTGTCAGTAAATAAACAGTAGTGTCAGTAAATAAAACAGTAGTGTCAGTAAATAAACAGTAGTGTCAGTAAATCAGTAGTGTCAGTAAAATAAAACAGTAGTGTCAGTAAATAAACAGTAGTGTCAGTAAATAACAGTAGTGTCAGTAAATAAACAGTAGTGTCAGTAAATAAACAGTAGTGTCAGTAAAGAGACAGTAGTGTCAGTAAAGAGACAGTTAGTGTCAGTAAAGAGACAGTAAAGTGTCAGTAAATAAAACAGTAGTAGTCAGTAAACAGTAAACAGTAAAGAAACAGTAGTGTCAGTAAAAACAGTAGTGTCAGTAAAGAGACAGTAGTGTCAGTAAATAAACAGTAGTGTCAGTAAATAAACAGTAGTGTCAGTAAAGAGACAGTAGTGTCAGTAAATAAACAGTAGTGTCAGTAAATAAACAGTAGTGTCAGTAAATAAACAGTAGTGTCAGTAAATAAACAGTAGTGTCAGTAAATAAACAGTAGTGTCAGTAAAGAAACACAGTAGTGGACAGTGTCAGTAAAAACAGTAGTGTCAGTAAAATAAACAGTAGTGTCAGTAAAAGAAACAGTAGTGGTGTCAGTAAAGAAACAGTAGTGTCAGTAACAGTAGTGTCAACAGTACAGTAGTGTCAGTAAATAAACAGTAGTGTCAGTAAATAAACAGTAGTGTCAGTAAAGAGACAGTAGTGTCAGTAAAGAGACAGTAGTGTCAGTAAATAAACAGTAGTGTCAGTAAATAAACAGTAGTGTCAGTAAATAAACAGTAGTGTCAGTAAATAAACAGTAGTGTCAGTAAATAAACAGTAGTGTCAGTAAAGAAACAGTAGTGTCAGTAAAGAGACAGTAGTGTCAGTAAAGAGACAGTAGTGTCAGTAAATAGACAGTAGTGTCAGTAAAGAGACAGTAGTGTCAGTAAATAAACAGTAGTGTCAGTAAAAAAACAGTAGTGTCAGTAAAGAGACAGTAGTGTCAGTAAAGAAACAGTAGTGTCAGTAAATAAACAGTAGTGTCAGTAAAGAGACAGTAGTGTCAGTAAAGAGACAGTAGTGTCAGTAAAGAGACAGTAGTGTCAGTAAAGAGACAGTAGTGTCAGTAAATAAACAGTAGTGTCAGTAAGTACAGTAGTGTCAGTAAATAAACAGTAGTGTCAGTAAAGAAACAGTAGTGTCAGTAAATAAACAGTAGTGTCAGTAAATAAACAGTAGTGTCAGTAAAGTGAATAAACAGTAGTGTCAGTAAATAAACAGTAGTGTCAAAGTAGTGTCAGTAAAAGACAGTAGTGTCAGTAAAGAGACAGTGTCAGTAAAGAGACAGTAGTGTCAGAGAGACAGTAGTGTCAGTAAAGAGACAGTAGTGTCAGTAAAGAAACAGTAGTGTCAGTAAAGAAACAGTAGTGTCAGTAAAAGAGTGACAGTAGTGTCAGTAAAGAGATAGTGTCAGTAGTGTCAGTAAATAAACAGTAGTGTCAGTAAAGAAACAGTAGTGTCAGTAAATAAACAGTAGTGTCAGTAAAGAAACAGTAGTGTCAGTAAATAAACAGTAGTGTCAGTAAAGAAACAGTAGTGTCAGTAAATAAACAGTAGTGTCAGTAAATAAACAGTAGTGTCAGTAAATAAACAGTAGTGTCAGTAAAGAAACAGTAGTGTCAGTAAAGAGACAGTAAGTGTCAGTAAAGAGACAGTAGTGTCAGTAAAGTAAAAAAACAGTAGTGTCAGTAAAGAGACAGTAGTGTCAGTAATAAA